AAAATTTTATGCTTGTGTGGACTGGAAGTGGCTTCCTACTTTTGACTGGCGTAATTTTATGTTAAATGAATTATATATTGTCGGCGAATAATGTTTAAAACTGGATAATTGACACTGAATAATTTTTATATATGGGTTTAATTTAAGATATATGTACTGAGGATGGTCAGATGGTGACCGAAACGTTTACGTAATAGAAAATAAAATATAATTTGTGCTAATTCTAACTGGCACTGTGGCTGTATGCTCTTTATTAATTTGCTTTAATAACAAAAGAACTTCTCAAAGAACGATGGCAATTTAGGGCCAAATTTGCCTGTGATAAAAACATATAAAATCGGTCAATCTTTATAAATTTGGATGTGCTGAACTTAAAGAAGCAAAATTGTATTTTCACAAAATTTCCCGGAAGAACTCTGAAGAACTTTAAGCTTATAATATGTCTTGTAGAATTTAATTGTCTCATTAAGTCATATGTCAGTAGGGTAACTCCGACAAATACGCCGCGCTGGGATTTACGCCGCAGAAGTCAGAAAAAATAGAAGAAGTGGGAGTAATTTTCCCTCCATTACTCTGTTACATGCCTTTATGTTATATTGTGTTATGATTTCAGTTTCTTACTGTTAATATTAATGAAATTATTGTGAGTTGAATCGATTTGTCACTATATTAAACAGCGCCATCATAAATTATAATCTACATAAAATGATTATTGTAGGACTTGCAAAAGACTTAGGCCCAGTTTCACAATTGACTGTTAACTCTTAACCGAGGTTCAACTTATTCATTATCTCTTTTCAATTCTAGAATTGGAAAAAGATGAGAAATAAGTTGAACCTCGGTTAAGAGTTAACCGTGAGTTGTGAAACTGGGCCTTAGTGATTATTTCGTGATACATTAGTGTAGAGGAATAGTAAAGTATGTTGTATAAAAAAAAACAAAATACAAGTACTTTGCTTTTGTATTCTTTGTTCAGTTTGTTGTCTTGTATATCCCACCTGTTTGCGATATATGGCATTTTTAACAGGCGGGATTTATGCCCAAAGCATACAAAGTGCGCAGATTGAATTCAGTGCACTAAATACAATAAACGCATTACATTAAATATGTACCTCATGTCATAATACTTATAATACATCTGGGAAGATTGTAATTATTATTTATTATTTCATATACATATTTACCATTCTTATTCCTTAATAAAACTTTATAAACACATTTTATAAGTTATTATGTCATTTTACGTTTTATTTATATGCATTATTTATAAAATTTTCATGAGCCATACATATCTCTCCTCCCCCTATGAGTAGCCATATATCCCACCCCTATGGAATATACGGCAAAAATGCAAGGGTTTAAGTAAGTTCATTTTTTAATACGAAATATAAATATTTCGGATTTCTAATATTTCTTTTATAATAGTAGATGTACAAAGTTTTTACTGATATAGTTCGTTTATTTTAAATATAGTAAATAATACTTAATAAATTAAGTTTTTGATAGGTGCGACGTAGGGTAAAAGCAGGAATTATGAAATAGCTTTTTTTAAATTAACGTTGCTCCGTTATAAATGCATATGAAGACTTTAAATTTACACAGAACTCTTGAGGAATATGTTAGCTACAACAATAAATGAAAGTCGCCAAGATTTAAGTCCAACGTCAATATTAACAAAAAAGTCAAAAGTGAGAAAAGGGAGGTCTAAAAAATGGGATGTAATATAGAATACCGATAAAATTTTGACTATAGTAGTAAATAATACAATAAATGAAGTCCAAATTTGTTTATTTATATAAACTGATCAAGAAAAATAGAAAACTGTTCAATTTTTATTCTACAATTTATATATATATATATATATATATTGTACAATAACACAGAAAATATAATAGCATCATTACGAACGTTATTACGCATGGACAAATAAAAAATTACAAATAAGTTGATAAATCGCAAATAAGCTGATATAAAATACATATTGTAATCTAACCTAATCTGATCACGAATAAGTTGCTAACATGCATGGAATCTATTCCATATTCTCAATCCTCGATGTATTCCACATTACCTGCATGTCGTCATATGACAAATAAAGTCTTTCAGTAGCAATAAACAAGTTTGAAATAGCAATTAATCTGCATAATATTGTTCATGCAACATTATTAAAAGCGTCTGTGCAATATAAACAGTAAAAAAACTTACCTCCAGTTTGTGAGAACACTTTTTAGAAAAAGCTGCTTAATCTTCTGACGTGACGAAAATGAATAAATGTTAATTGTAGTAAAATGGTTGGTCGAACCGAGTTCATTGCTTGTTATGACATGTTTGGTAACAGTTGCAATAACTTTCAGCGATTGCCGCCAGATTGCAATGCTTTGTTTAAAAAATAAGCCACTATTCCATATTAGTAGCCTATGCCATAATCCCTGATTTTACCCTATATATCGAAGTTATCCTACATCATGTGTCAGTCTAAATTTTATTCTTTTTATTTTATTATTATTTAGCTATAGGCTCATAACTATGAGGCCACGTACTCAGCTATGCCATTATGAGCTGTCCTCGAGCTGAGTTCGGATTAATTAATTACAAAACAGAAAAATTGCATTTTCATAAAGTTCTCCGGATTTTGGAGAATTGTAAGTTTCATATTCGAATTCATACATTTTCATCACAGGCAAATTTTAGCCCTAAACTGCTACCAATTCAAATAAAATTGTGAAAGAAGGAGCTGTGGAGTCAGCGTAATTAACCCTAGTATGTCATTCAACGTACCCTATGCGATTTTTTTACATTGGTTTAACTTTTTTGCAGAGATGGGAAAGTTACTTTTAAAGTTACTTTTAAGTTACTTTTTATTTAGAAATTCATTACAATAAATTAAGATATTTTATTTCATATATCATATTTTATCATTTGCTTCAACTTTATATTATTATTTATAATTGTACTCTCTCAATTTCTAAATAAAAAGTAACTTTCCATCCCTGCTTTTTTGTAATATAATTTGAAAACTCGGATTAAATTAAAAAATTTAACATTTTAGAATTTTTTTCCAAAGTGGTCATTTTTTGTGAATTTTTTCAATAATATTTGAAGCATTGTAATTAATTGAGGTTAAAATTACAATGACTTACTAGGGTTAATAACATATTAGGAAAAAATGTTTTATATAAAATTATATATATTATTATATAATTTTATATAAAATAAAAAAAATAAATGTCCATAAATGTCCATAAGTGTTCATAAATGTCCATAAATGTCCATTAATGGACATATTTTATATATAATTGTATATAATTATTAGGATCGAATATTATGAGCACTGCAGGTAATATGAGCACCCTTTATATTTCTGTAACGGTCCTAGTAGTGCCAACTGTTGTAGATGCATCTGTCTGACCAAACTGTTACTATTTGGTAATACCACAATATAAATACATACAGTATGGACACTGAGAATCGACATCTTTGATGTAGTGGATCCCAGAATACGTGTATTTAAGCAATAAAAAGATACTATTCACATAATATTAAACAGTAATAATAGTAAATTAAAAATAATAATTTATTAAATAACAAAATTGTAATTAAACAATTATACAGGGTGTCTCAGAAATAGTATAGAAGCCACATTGGGGGCGTAGAATGGGTCAAGGGGAACAAAAAACTCTCGGCGGCACGCTGCCGCCGCCGCTGTTGAGTGAGACGTAATAGACCGTGCTACGAATTCGTGCGGCGCGGCTTCACCGCACATTGACTTATACATTTCCTTTTTTAATTTGAAAATACAGCGAATATCTCAAAATGATATCAGACTTTTTTGTTCCCCTTGACCCATTCTACGCTCTTAATGAGGCTCCTATCTCATTACTGATTCAAACGTTTTTATTGTAATTAATCTCCTGGTTTATATGTAACATATCTGGACATCAATTTTGACACCTTGTATATGAAAAAATAATATTCACAACGCTCGTATTATGCAAAGCAAATCTATAAAAGAACGGTCTATAATCGAGCCAATTGAGGTTAAAAATAATATATCATAAATTTATTAAATGAAGAACATTAAGTAATGACATATAAAATTGGACGTTTCGGAACACACAGGTTCTTCTTCAGCAACAATTGAACAAAAAGATCGATATCAAAAGAATAACATTACGTATGATTCGTTGTGATGATACATTTCAAATA